AAAATAAATAAATAAATAAACAGTACAAAAACAACATGACTCCCGCTTACGCTTCGCGTGCGGGGGTCATTATGTTACCGCTATGCAGTGTCTAGTTTTTCTTTAGAATTTTACACTTTATTTTAAACATTTAATGTTTATTTTGTTCAGTTGTGAATAAAATCAAACTTTATGAAGTTTGCAGATTGTATTTTGTTTTTATTTATATTTTACACAATGCCCCAGATTAATCAGAATCATATTTTTGTTTACGCTGTAAAAATATAAAGACGATTATCTCTACTTCAGTTGAATTAAATCCTGTTCAGTCCAATTCATTCCTAAATGTCTTTAGTTTAATCCAGTTAAATGATCATTTCCACTCTCGTAATYTTTTTCTGCTCATGTGTGAGTCTGTGATGTTGTGTGTGTTGTCAGACGGTGACAGAGAAACACAAGCTGAACGTTCCAGAGACCATGACTGAAGTCCTGGATGTCTCAGATGAAGAAGGTGAGTCATCAAAAGACAGAAAAACCARATCCTGTAAATCCTCTTTAGGTCCCACAGTTCTCTGTCTGCTGGAGAAACTTTCTAATATTTAGTAACTGAGAGCCCACCTGAACAGAGTTAGAAAAAGTATTTAAAATAAAAAGAAAAAAATAACTCAGTAAAAGTAAAAATACCTYAACAGTCARTTACTTTGGAAAAAAWTATTTTCACWAATCTCTTACTAAACAGCAGTACACTTTAAGTACATGTCATTAAGTAWACTAAAGTACTATATCTAAAAGTGTATTTCCCTACATTTGTTTACCAAGTACACTGATACTATAATACAGTATATACTATAGTATACTATACGATACTATAGTATAGAAGTATACTAGTAGTTTACTGACAAGTGTACTTCTTGGGACTAAACTGGCCTGCTTTAAGTTTATGAAAATATACTCTGGAGAATACTGAAAGTAATCTTCTAAGTATTTAGTACTATTAGTTTACTAGCAGTAAACTTCTAGTGTCATTTTATTAGTTTATAAAAGTAGACTTTAAGTATAATAATAAAAGTAACATTTTAGGTTTACTATTAGTTCACTAAGAATACATTTCTAGTTCACCATTTAGTGTATGAAAATACATTTTCCAGTACACTCCAAATAACCTTATAATCATACTTCTCTACTTTTGATGTTGAGTGAAAAATATTGGAAAAATGTGTCAAAAATAGATTTGACAGTTCAAGTCAGATTAAAACTCACTCTGACCTTAATGCAGTGCAGAGTCCACTGAGCTGTTGTGTAAAWTTGTTAAATTGTTCAAACGTCTGTAGTCTTCTTTGCAGCAGATTGCTTGTAGTTTTAATTGTTGACTTTGTTCCAAAAAACTGATAAAGGATTTATAAACAGGACATCTTGAAATATACTACAAATAAACCAGTCTGTGTGAAAATGTACTTTCAGTGTACTAACAGTGTAACTTGGCCAAAAGTTTAAATAGTATAGACTAAGCATACTTAAACTTTTAGTATGTTTTTTGTATAAGCCAAGATAAACTTGGCTAAGTATACATTATCTAAGATAAGTACTTAAAAAT